GCAGGAGCAGAAGAGGGATGTGGTAAGGGGGGCTGGATGAAAAGAGGTAGCAAACAAAACAGCACAGGACGGAGGGAAGGGGAAGGGGGGAGGACAAAGATCAGTGGAGGGTTGAGTACCTTCCCCCCGATGAGAGCGGAGCTTCATGCTGTAAACGGGTCAGTCGAGGGAAAGAGAGGAGGAGGAAGCGAACATGCGAGTCCTTGCTCTCGTCCTCCGGCACCCCCTGTGGTTGTTTTGCCTCCTCCTCTGCCCCGCTCATCGCTGCTGCCGGGAAACTCTTAGAGCATGCAAGACATACGAAGGAGATTGCTGGGGTTGTAGCAAGGAGCTAGATGTCAAGGGGAGGGAGGCGGAGGGAGCAGGAGCAGGAGCAGGGAGCAGGAGCAGGAGCAGGGAGGACGAGGACGAGGACGAGGACGAGGACGAGGACGAGGACGAGGACAAGGACGAGGACGAGGACGAGGACGAGGACGAGGACGAGGACGAGGACGAGGAGGCCTTCTATCCCCATTGTCCACCGATATTTTCTCTCGTGTCCCCTCTTTTGGCTTCCAGCTCCCATCCTGCCCTCTGCATCCTGCGTCCTCCCTCCCTCCTCCATCCTCCCTCCTCCCTCCTCCCTCCTCCCTCCTCCCTCCTCCCTCCTCCCTTCCTCCTCCCTCCTCCCTCCTCCGTCGTCGGCAGCATCTGAAGGCTTCTTCTATTCTTAACCCATGGCCTCTGGTCTCGCCCCGCCTCCCCCCTTCTTTCCTCCCTCCTCCCTCCCCTCCCCTCCTCATCCTCTACGCATTTTCGCTCAACTTCTACGAGAAAAAAATCAGAACTTGGAAGGGGGGAGGGGGAGAGAGCAGGGGAGCGAGGGGGAGACAGTGAGGGGAGGGGGGAGGAGGGCCCATAGGAAGAAGATGAAGAGGGAGATGGCAGAAGGGGGAGGAGGAGGGAGAGGGAGAGAAAGGAGGGAGAGCGATCCGAGACAAGGGATGGAGGAAGGGCAGCAGAAGGAAGAAGGTTTCCCACCAGCATGCTCTCGTCGGGTAGCTTGTTGTGACCGCGATGGTCGCCCAAGGACATGCAGGCCTTACCGCTCAGCCGTCAGCTCGATCTTCTCCACTAGCTCCCTCCTATCGCGATCCACTGCTCCCTCACACACAGCAGGCAGTGAAGATGGTTCCATGGTCGCTCGTTGCGGCAGCTTCACCTTTCTCTCCTCTCCTCCTTCCCTCCTGCTCTCCGGGG